CTTTTGGGCATGGAGCAAATGCCATGTGCCAGAGCAGGGATCCTGCAGGGGAACAGAGAGGGTAATCAGTGCTTTGCAGGATGCAATGGGTCCATTTCTCTACCTTTCCTGCTCTCCAGTATAAAGGATGCTGCATTAAACACCTGCTGTGCCTGGGAGGGACAGTGATGTGATGCTGTGAGGATACTCTTGGCAGAGCACGACTAACTGCTGAGTGCTGACATTTGGCAGAGCTGAGCAGGATTGCACCACCCCAAGATCCATCATCTGACACCCCTCTGAGTGATATCATTTTACTTTGTGGCTTTCTATGCCTGTTCTTCCTGTCCTTTGGGCCAGCCAGCAGCAGCAGGTTGTTGCCTCTGTAAATAGCTTGCTAAAAGCTGGTGACCTGGGGTTGGTGGTGCTCTGCTCCTGGGTGCTCCTTCTGCCATGGTCCCTCTCCCTGCTACTGCAGGTGTCTCAGGGATTCTTTTAGTTCGGGGACTCTTTGGGTGAGTGTCCTGCATGAGATGACATTTCCCGTCCCCACCCCCATGGTGCAGAGAGGAAATCTGTGGTCACACCAGGACCTCAAATCTGCAAATCTCTCCCCCAGACCTTTGCTTCAATCTGCTGATTAGATCAGCAGTATCTCAGGTATAGTTGGTATTTTGCCTTTACTTCATGGAAACTAAATGTGTCTTGGAACATATGCACAGCACAGAGGGAAAGCATGAAGCAGAAGAGCCGGAATTGGTGTCCCCTCCGCCCCTGCTGCTGGGCAATGACAGTAGCAGAGATGACTCTGCTTTGTCTGCACTGCTGGGGGGTGAGTGTCGTGACTGCCCCAGGGAGCTTCACTGTGTGCTTTGTGGTTTCCAGGCTTGGGGGTTCACTCTGCTCCTTCCTGCAGGGCAGCAGTGATGCCACCCCAGGGAGCAGCACCTGCAGCCTCCAAGCCTCTGGTTTGCCTTCTGCTGATGGACAATGCCATTTCCAAGGTGATTCACAGGGAGTACCTCCCAGAAGTGCAGGTTGATGCTGTATCCCAGGGCAGGGGGACCCTGTGCTCCAGCTCCCTCCCTGCTGCATTTGTGGACAGACAGCACCAGCTTCTGCCATTGCTGTGACCTTGGCTAAGGTCACTGTGCAGCAGTGACAAAGTGTACCCAGCTTTCAGCACGTGGGTGACTGTATTTTCCCCCCAAGGCACAGTCAATAAGGAGAGCTGAGGTTATCAGCATGCAGCATTGGAGGGAGAGCATGTAGAGGTCAGGGTGACCTTGCCTGGCTCTTCCTGAGAAGGGCTGCACAAAGTGGCTCTCTGGAGCTGAGAGGCATCCCCACGCATGGCAGCTGTGGCCTCCAGCCCAGCACCACTGGGAGAGAGCAGCAATGCCCAGTGCAGCATCAGCTCTTCACCCCGGGCACCCTGCCAGCATCTCCGCCAAAGCTGCTGGCAATTTATGTGGATGTAGGCTTGCATGAAAATGAAGTGTGCTGGAAATCCACAGTCTGAATGCAGCTGCCTCTGCAGCGTGTGAGGGAGAGGCAGGATGCAGCATCTTCCAGGGTATCACAGGGTGTTTCTGTAAGTGCACAGCTCCAGGGCATCCAGGGGGTGCCCAGCTCTGTGCACCTCCCCTGGGCTTGGGACTAGGTTTGGAGAGCTAACAGTGCTGGAGAAAGGAGTGAGGATGCATCTCTGATCGTATCACCCTCTGCACCAGGTATCATTGGGATAGGATGGTTGGAGCAGGGAAAATGCAGCATATGCCACAGCAGGGAGAGCTGCTTCCTCCCTCATATGCACCCAGTGACCCTGGCCCTGTACTCACCCTGCAGCCCTTGCCTCTGCTGTTGGGTTTCTTGCTGAGGAAAACTGAGTGTTGTCCTTTCAATCTCACACATGGGAATTTGGAAGAGGGCAGCCAGGAGTTGAAGGCTGGACGATGTGGGTCCTAGGGCAGTGGGCTGGCTGAGACTCATAGGAAAGCTCCAGCACTGGAAAGGGTTAAATTGCGCATTAAGACAGAAAAGAGAGAAAAAGAAGAGCAGAATGTCAGTGCCAGCCTGGTGGAGCCTGGCTTTGTTCTGTGGAGCACCAGGTAGTGCCTGCCTGGAAGCTGCCCTGAGGCCAGCATCTGGGGCAGAGACACAGTGTCCCTTTCCAATGGGAACTGCCTTCTCTCTGCCCATATATTGTGGCCACGGTTCTGCCCCAAGCTGCTCTAAGCACAGCTGATGAGTGAAAGAGGGTGATCAGAGCCACTTGCTCAGCTCTGGCATTTTCTGCCCTAAAGATCCCTATTACTGCTGAACACTCTCAGGATTTTAATCTCTCTGGACCTCAGGGACTGGTCTCACAGCCTACAGCCACAAGCATGCCAAGCACCAGGGCTCTTCAAGCCCTGTCCCGCTGCACTGACACGTTTCTGAGGTCCATCAGTGTTTTTCTTTACTGGTTTTGTGTGAAGTGAATTGCCTTTCTCTGGTGCCCAGTGGGGAGATGGAAGCAGCTGTCTTCCCTCTGTCTCTGCTTGGCCCTGCACTCTCCACCCTCACCCTGGTCTCGCCCTCTCCAGCCTGTGCTCCTGTGGATTTCGATTCCCTGCCTTGCCCCTGACACTCCTGAGACCAGCTGCAGTTCTTCAGTATTCTCACTCTTGTTTGTTGGTCTTGTCTCTATGCTTCATAACTGAAAAGATCATTGTTATTAAGGGCAGTGGTTCAAAATTCTGCTGGTTGTGCTTTCCCTTGAATGACGCTGTGGAGCTGCTCTGAGCAGAGCTCTTCTGAGCTCTGGGACTTCTTATTTGGGGAGTTATGAGTTTGTGAAGTGATTCATGTTGGTCATTTTCCTCTTAACATGACCATGGCAGATGAATGGGAAGACTACACAGAGGGGAAGAGGTGAGAGGAACCAGCTTGGTTTGTGCTTGGGGTGAAACTGACTGCCAGGTTTTTGGTGAATACATAAATCCTGTGCCCACCTGTCCTGTGTGGTATTAGTTCATCTGCCAACAGAAGATCTTTATATATCTGCCTATGGAAAAAAAGGTTAGAAGGGGCCACATGTGGTTATTGGTGCATCATCGCTGTGCAAATAAGTGGGCTAAGAAGAGGAGAGAAAGTGAAAGCAATAACTGATCATTCAGTGCTTGAACAACCCTTATCTGATTGCAAGCAGAAACCACAGTGGTGGTGATGTGTAGGATGGAAGAGAGATCTCTGGATTCAGAAAGGTCAAGAAACATCCCTGTACCTGTACTTTTCTACCCGGAAAAGCTGTGAGGGGGAAATCCAGGATGTCAGTGAACCTAACGTCTGCCTGGGGAACAGAAACCCATTTTTCTTCCCCTTTTATTTCCCTTCATCTCACTTTGTGGTAAGGCAGCATTTTGAGAAGTCATCGACATTTATTTTCTCTTTTCTCTCTTGGCTGCATAGGGAAGTCCCGACAGCATCTTTCCCATCACCAGCTCTCCCAGTCAGCTGCAGAGCCCCAGTGCATGAGCTCCTGGTTTGCCCAGGGGCTGCACTTCTGTGTGAGTAAACAGGGCAGCTCTCTGTGTGTGTTTGCAGAGGCACCTCCACCACATCAGACCTCTGCTCACCATATGTTTTCATATGCAACCTGCAACTATGTTTTCCAAATGCTATACCTTTGGACTCTTCATTAATTCCTTGGAAACTGGAAAGGCAGCCAGCCCCAGGAGCTGCATTCTTGTATTTGTTCACATTCATCCATCCTTCTGTATCTCCTCTGCTGCCCCTCTCCCTTGGGTAAAGTCACACTGGAGCCCTAGGGGAGGCACGATGCTGGCTGAGCCTTTTGGATGGCTCTGAACTTTGCTTCACCTCCCTGCATTCTCCTTTCGGTGGCTTGAGACCATGTTTCTGGGGTAGGATCAAGGGCACGTGCTGCAGGAGAGCATGAGTGCGGCTTCTTTGCTGGGAACAGGGAATCAAAGGACTCCTTATCTATGGATGGAAAGTTTCTAGGCTGCTTATCAGGCACTGCTTAGAGGTGAGATTAGTCTCAGGAGCAGCAGTTTGACAGAGTGCTGCTCAGTTTCCTTGTGCCTGGCTGAGTGACACCTTGGAGCGAGGTGCTGTGTGAGTGGCACAGCCCTGCAGGGATGTGGGTACCCAGGGAGAGGACTGGTGCCACAGCCTGGCACAGAGCTTGCCTGCCTTGTGCCTGTCCTGCTCCCTCGCTGCACCCACACCCCTCGGTGGGGCTGACCCTCGGAAATGCTTGGGATGACTGAGGGAATTTTTGGGTCTGACTTGACATGGGTATTAATAATTTCTCAAAACATTTGCCGACCTAATTTTGGCTACCCAGAGATGGGAAAGGAACTTACTGTTGGCTGAATTTACTGTTGATACAAACTGATGGCCAAAATGCTGAGGGTGTGTAGCTCGGCCGGAAAGGGAAACGGCCAAGCTGCTCTGCAGGGAGTTATGGACCCAGATCTTGGCGTCTTCAGGGACCCTCGGCCTGGCTGCAGATGTTCTAACTCTGTGCCCCAGGACTAACACCTGTTTCCCTCTCTGTCATGGGCAGTCACCTTTCTCAGGCCCCCATAGTTCTGCTGTGTGCCCAGACTTTGCTGGCTGTTTACCACTGGGACATGGCTGTCTTTCAGAGCTAATGGCTATACCCCATTCTGTACAGCAAATTCTGATGGCAAAACTGTCCCCATTCCCCAGCAAAGCCAGGGAATGTTCTGTGCTCCCTGTGAATGGTGGCAGTTGCAGGAGAGGTCAGACACATGGGGAACTGGAGCAGCTGGATCTGTGCTGTCAGCATGGAGGGATGTGAGCTGGCTTCCTATAGGTGTGATGAATTTCTGAGTGGCTGCAAAGAGCAGGAGTTACCTGGGCAAGGATCTCCTGCTGGGGCATCAGCTTGTTGCTTAAAATGTTCATAGACAATGTGGGGTGCCCACCTGTCTTCCTCTCTGGGGACAGACCTACCATCAAAGCCCCAAGTGTGGGAAGGTTCTTACCTCTTGAGGGCTCCATCAGTCAGCAGGATCCCCTTGTTCCTCATCTCCAGTTTCAGGGGTTTACCCTCCTGGCTGCCCTGGTCCTGCCTGCCCCTGGACTGGACCTTCTGGAGGGGAGGCAGGCAGGAGCTCCTGGGGCCCCCTGTCCTGCAGTAGTGCAGCAAGTGTTCGTATGCCAGTCGGAAATCCCTGTTAAGTGTCCCATAGAGGATGGGATTCAGGGCTGAGTTGGCATAGCCCAGCCAGAGAACAATGGACATGGTTGTGCCTTCCACCCTCCTGTCCCCTGTCACCCCCCGGTACGTGAACACAGTGAAATAGGGGAACCAGCACACGACAAATGCTCCCAACACCACTGCCAGTGTCATAGCAGCTTTGTGCTCCTTCACCATGGGTGACATGGAGGTGTTGCACCATGTGTGCTTTATCCTCTTGACTTGCTCCCTTGCAATCTTGAGTATCCGGTAGTAGGTGATGCACATGACGACCAAAGGGATGTAAAAGGTGAGCAAGGCGTCCACTAGCCCATACACAGGGTTCACCTCCAGCTTGCACTCCTTGTTGCAGACGGGGACTGTGTTTTGGACTGCTGTCCCATTGGTGTTCCAGCCCAGGTGGATGGGTAGGAAGGAGACCATCAGTGAAACAGTCCAAATAATAACCAAACCCACAGTCACCCTGAAAGAAGTGACCACTTGTCTATAGCGGAGTGGGGTGGTGACGGCAAAGTAGCGATCCAGGCTGATCATGAAGAGGTTGAGGATGGAAGCTGTGCACAGCATGACGTCCAGGCTGGTGTAGATGTTGCAGAAAATGCTGCCAAAAGGCCACTCTTTGGTGAGTTCATAGAAGGCAGAGAATGGCAGCACCAGGAGGCCCAGCAGCAGGTCAGTGATGGCCAAGGAGACGATGATGCAGTTCGTCAGGCTGCGGAGCCGGCGGTCAAGGGTGACGGCCAGGCAGACGATGATGTTACCACAGAGAATGAGCACGATCAGGATGACAAGGCAGGACCCAATCAGCAGTTGCAGGGGAAAGTCCATCGTTTTTTGAGAGCTTGTATGGTTGTAACATGGATCCATGGTGTAGCTGCATGCATGGAGCAGTCCTGCTATCACTGCCTCCAAAGCTACTGGGAGTGAGCTTCTATCAGGCAGACCTAGAGCCCTTCCCAAAGGGACCCTCGGCCTACAGTGACCTTGGAGAACATTGCAGAGTCACTTTATGTGTTCAGCCTTATATGCTGGGAATGACATAGTCTAGGGAAGCCCTGCCACTCACGTGTGCCCATTGGTTCCATATGGGAGTTCAGTGCTGGAATCAATCACCTATGGCAGCTGCTGGTGCGTCTCAACTGCTCCTTTTCCTCTCCTGCATTCTCCTTTCCTCTGAGAAACCATGGGGTCAGGTCCTGTGAGGTCTCATGCACTCTGCATGTTTGGTGGGTTACAGTGCTCCAGCAGGGACAGAGCTCTGCCAGCTCCTGAGGACAACCTGTAAAGAAAGTGTCTGGTGAGGCACTGGCACAGGTTGCCCAGAGAAGCTGCGGTTGCCTCATCCCTGGAAGTGTTCCAGGCCAGGTTGGATGGGGCTTGGAGCAACCAGGGCTGGTGAAAGGTGTCCCTGCCCATGGTAGAGGGGTGGAAATAGATGGTTTATAGGGTCTCTCCCAACCCAAACCATTCTGTGATTCTATGAAAGCACCAAGTCAGAGCTGCAGTGGGCAAAAGTCCTTTGAGCTGCCCCTCAAACCCCTCCAGAAATGGAGCATCTGCACCTCCCTGGCTGCTTCAGCCCACTTAAACCCAAATTGGAATGTCCTTTGGCAGGCAGGCACATATGTCCCTGTCAGCTGGGCTCCCCCAGTGCCAGGGGTGCCCATGTAATGTAGGAATGTTGAGAGAAGGGCAGGGATTTTAGAAGCACCAAGCTCCAATGAAAGCAAGGACTGGGAGGACAGGAAGAAAGAATTTTCCTGAGAAAGGAGTGCTTATGTTATCTAGCAAAATTAGTCACGACTACATAACTTCTGAAGCTGGGCTGTGGCTGTCTGTCTCATTAAACTTTGCCCTTGTATCTGTGCTTTGCAGCAGCCTTGGATTGGTCCCTGCCATCAGCAACCACAGTACCTCCTGCAGTCTGGGTAGGAAATTCTCACTCTGCTCTGGGCCCTGGGGGAAAAAAAGAACATCCCTTGTAGAGTTACTTTTTATGGCTATTTTCTGTCTAGCTATAAATACAGAAGAAATAACACAGCAAATCCCTCTCACCTCCAAAAGAGTTTGCAGATAATGATTATTGTGGTATCCAGGACCACACTGCTACTAGATTCAAAGGGGCCTGTGTGATTCCCTGTGTTCCTGTGTGATTGCAAGCAACATCCATGTTGGGAAGGCACCTAAAGGGAGACTGAGGCACTGCAGGGACAAGACACAGGGCTGGGAGCAGGCTGAGGAGCTGGACTGCCTGTGCTGGGATCCCCATGGAGTTGCCTGTGACAAAGCTGTGGTCTCCTGTCATGTGCTCCCCAGGTGAGGTGATGGGTCTCCCCATTCTCCCTGATGTGCTGGTGAGAGAAAGCTGCATGACTCAGCTCCCCAGGCTCTCTGCACCCCATGGCAGAGAAGCCCTCCCTGGTGATGCCCAGACATGTGGGAAAGTAAAGCTGATTCTCCATAGGGTGCAACAGCCTGCAGAGATGAAGAAAACAGAAGAAACTCCAGGAAGGGAAAAGGTTGAGCCTTGTCAGAGGGTAGAGGTGAGATTTTAAAGTTAAACTTACCCTGCAACAACAAGATAACGCTGTGGAGTAGGCTGAAATACTCTTAGGATGATTTATGACTTTGATCCAAGGTTAAAGGCATGGAGGCCAAGGGAGAGAGTATACCAGGGAGACTGCATGAGTAAATAACCACTGATTGCCAGGAACCATGTCGAGGAGAGATAGGACTGGACCACTGAGATTAGAGGCGATACCCACAGCCCTGCTGCTTCTAAAGGCATCGAAAGCGAACAGCAAGTGATGAACCAGCCTGTGGGATACCTTCTGCTGAGCAGAGCAAGCTCATTGCCAGGAAGGAGGCCCTCTGAATTTGGGTGCTGGGATTAAGGCTGTGGGGAGAGGGATGAGCTGCATTCAGCCACAGCAGCAGCATGTGGAGCAGTTCCTCACCTCCCGCTGCAGCGCAGGCTCTTGCCACGGAAAGCTCTTTGTTCACGCACAAAAGGAGTGTGGAACAAGCTGAGCTCTGCCTGCCCACTGATGGCAATGAGGAGAACAGGTTGTTCTCACAGAAGGGTATTTCCAAGTGAAAGGGATGGGGTTTTTTTCATTGCTCCCAACATGTGGAAATGGCAGGATAAATTATAGGGGGAGTAGCACACTTAGCAAATGCTGTGGGTGGATCACAGCCTCCTACGTGGCTGCTTCACCACACACCAACAACCTACTCCTGCCGTCAGCTCTTGCAGCTCACATGGGCTCTGCTGGGGCTCAGCTTGGGCTTTGCTGGTGGATCCCAGCTCTGGGTACATCAGCACACTTGGAACCTGCTGTGGTGCCAGGGGCAGCCCCCGGGGCAGCCCTGCCCTGCAGTCCTGGCCAGGAGGAGTTTTGCTTCTCATTGCTTTTTTTCTGATTAGCTCAGGACAAGGCACTTGGAAGGGGACAGAGGTGTTCCCATCCCTGTAGAGGGGCCCAGCTAGATCTGGGATCTTGACATCTCAATGTGGGCAGCAAGGCTGGCTGGCTGCAATCCCTTCCCTTGGGATGTCGTTCCTCCACGGGATGGGGCAGGACTTGCTGCGTGTCAGCTTGGATGTGTGATGTTGCAACCCTAACTGTCGCGGAGATGTCGGAAACTTCCCCGTGTCCCTCGGCCAAATTATCTCATGGAAAACATTCCCCCATGTGACCATAGCCTCCGGACATGACTTGCAGAAAAAGCAGGCTGGAGGGCTGGTATAGATGCAGGGCTGTGGGGTTAGCCTGCTGCCATCAGGACACAGTCTCTGGGACGATGCTCCCAGCTCAGGGCTCTCTCCTGGAGCATCAGTCCTCTGGGACTCATCTGCCCTTGGCTTTCTGCCCAGGTCGCTCACAGCCACCTTTAATACCTGTGTCCTCTGCTCCTGTTGTGTTTTGGCAGAGTTGATTTCCTCCTTGATGCACGAGTGGAGCAGCTGTTTCCCATGGCAGTCTTTCCAGCAACAGCCTGAATAAATGATACCCTTCCAGCACTGTCTCACCAGGCAGCTTTTACATTTACCTGATTATCCTCATTATCACAGCCTGGACCTGTTCCTGGTTCAAAATCACCCTCCTGACATTGAAGGGATCAGGGTAGGGCATTGTTTGTGAGTCATCTTTCTGGTGCTCTGATGGACACTCTCTCTGCTGTGAAGACTTGTCAGGTTGCATTTGTTTTGTTGCAGTTATCCCAGGGTTCCCTAAAAGCCAGATATTTTTCCTATGGTGTTTTCAGCTGCTTAGAGCAGCAATTTCTGCTGTTAGGCCCTAAGCATATGAACCTGTGCCAACCTGTTGTGTTTCTGTCAATCTCTGGATCCTCTGGTTCTTCTCCTGTAGTACTTGGTCCCTTGTCCAGTGCAAAACTTTCCCCAAGTTTCTCACCAGTACATTTCCTTAGGAAAACTCACATTTTTCTGAGCCAAGATCACTAATGAAAACCATTATATAAAATTTACCTCTAGGCTGATCTTTAAGAAACTGTGTTAATAGCCTTCTCCAGTACATTAATGATCCTTCCATTGTAATGCCCTATCGTCTCCCCATTAGCCCCTTTACAATTCTCATAGTAATTTCTGCCTTCTGTTGCCTGAATAGATATTTTCTGCCCTGTTGTAGTCCACGTTACATTTGATTCACCGTGTTACATTTATCTCCTCTGGGGAGGGGGCTGAGACTTACAGAAACCTTCTGTTGCATTTTACCCTTTTATTCCTCCTCCCTATCTTTCAGCATCCTTTCCTTCAACATCATTTATTCCAGCACTTTGTTCACTTTTGCAGCGAGACTAATGGGATGCAGCGCTTGCTCCAGCAGTGCAGGGAATGCATTTGCCGCTGTCCCTTCCTGTGCTTCAACTTCTGGCATAACAGGTTTCTTTAAAATTTCTTAAAGATCTGGATACATCAGCAGAGAGGAGCACTCAGGAAGTGCCTGAGCGTGGCAGCCTGTCTTTGGGAAGCATTTCCCGTTGCTGGGAACGGCACTGACAGCGCTGGTTGGTGGCTCAGGAGAAACTCCACATGAAGCATTTTAGCTCTGTCCTCGGGCCAAGAGGGCTCTGCTCTTGGGCATGGCTGAAATGTTACTGTGCCTCCTGTGTCAGTTCCTTTCTGAGAAAAGTGCTGGCAGGAGTCACTTAGGAGCAAAGAGAATTCCCTGGCTGTGCACAGCTTGCAGCAGAGCATCACGGCTCTTTCTGAAATTATATTCCAGTGCTCATTGACATTAAACATCTGGGCATGCTGTGAGAGATACTTCAGCCAAGGCTGAGATGGGCAGGAGTGTTTGAGGTTTGATAGTGTGGAGTGGACAGGGCCAGGAGTTGCAGGGACCTTGGGAATGGTATTCTCGATGCCTTGCCAGAGGCATGAACTTGTCTCACAATGGAACAAGAGCAAAATTGCCAGAGTTGGGGGTTGAAGGCAATGTGAGAGAGGACAAATGTGGGAGTGGTATAGAAACTAATTGCCCTGCTGTCTGTGGGGGGTTTAGCTGAGGTTTTGGGGTTGTTTCTAGTTTATGAGCAGCCTTCCTGCAAGGACTGTGTTTCTCCCATGCGGTGCTGTACCCCACAGCATCCCCCAGCACGCCTCTGCCCCTGAGCTCAGGGAGCCACATCGCTGGAGCTTTTGCTCCTTTGTTTCCACCTCTTTCTTGAAATAATTCATCTCCCCTCTGCTTCCCAGGGCAGGGCTGTCAGGAGTGCTGCTCATCCATCCAAGGTGCCTCGTACCCTTGTTTGGGAGGGTAGACACAGCTCACCCCAGATCTTAAACGTGCTCACAGACAGCTGTAGTCTCATTTTTTTACAGAGCCTCTTTGCAACCTCTC